CAGACGGCTCCCATTCACCTGCTAGCGGTTCGAAGGTTAGATTGGAGGAGAACTCCCCCAACATCGGCCCTGTTCAATGTCAGCCAGTCAGCCTCCTTTGCATGACAGTCCTACTCCATTTCTGGGTTCTGGTATGGTTTGTCAATTCTTAGATAATGCTATTTGTGTTTCAGCTAATCCTCCCCACCCTCCTTCTGTGGTTGTTGTCCAGCCTGCAGGTGAGACCTATTCTTGTCCAGCAGCTGCCAATCCTAGTGTGTTGTTGGAGGCAACAGAAGTGTTAGGAGATACTGAAGTTGTAGAGGATTCAAAGGAGGAAGGGGAGAGACTCTGGGAGCTAATAATGCAGCTCTTTGATCAGTTGGTTCAGGTAGAAATACAGTCCAAAGTGGGTTTGGAGGAGGAAGGTAGCAGTCCAAATCTGATGTGTTTGGAGAAGGAAAACAAAGAAAAAAAGAGTGGGTTGAGAGTCAAAAACACAAAAGGAAAAAACAACAGAAGAGAGAGGCTGGAGGAAGGAAAAGAATTGATTCTTTAAATAAGAAGTTAGAGTCATCAAAAAAAAAGAAAGAAGAAGATGAGTGAGGTGGAGAGGCTGAGATATGGAGTTAGGACAAAAGACAAAGGGGGTTTAGGGATTGGAAATATTTGTTTAAGAAACATAGCACTCTTAAGTAAGTGGTTGTGGAGGTTACCCAAGGAGCAAGAAAGTTTGTGGCATAGAGTGATAGAAAGCATACATGGATTGGCAGCAAATGGATGGGATATTGGTCTCAACCCAAGGGCTTCTCGTTCTTCTCCGTGGAAAGGCATTGTTGGTATCATACCCACCTTTTCTCCTTTCATCAGGTATGATGCTTGTTCAGGTAATAAGGTCATTTTTTGGGAAGATGTTTGGGTTGGAGATCAGCCTCTTAAGGATAGGTTCCCGGCCCTCTGCTCCCTGTCCTTGAACAAATTTAAAGTCATATCTACCTTTCGTGTTTCTGGAGAGTCGTGGGATTTAGGGTTTAGCAGAGGGTTGAGGGAGTCAGAAATAGGGTTGGCAGATGATCTTTTCTCTCTTCTAAATTCGGTGTTTTTGGATTAGTCTTGTCCTGATAATAGAATTTGGTCTGAAGAGTCCTCTGGTTGTTTATCTTGCCCTTCTTTCTTCAATGCTTTAGTGCACACTTCCAATTTAGTCTACTCTTTTCTTGTAAAAGAAGTGTGGAGTGCTCCTGTACCTCCAAAGGTGAGGGATTTTTGTTGGGAAGTGGTTCTCCAAAAAATCAACACTTTGGACTTGCTTCAGAAAGGAAAAAAAAAGAATTGGTTCTTATCCCCTCATGTTTGTAGCCTTTGCTTTAAGAGTGGTGAGACAGTAAATCATCTACTAATCTCTTGTCCTTCTGTTACTCTTATTTGGGATTGGTTTTCCTCTCTCTTTGGGTGCAGATGGGTTCCCCCTACAAGCATGGTGGATCATTTTGAATTTAGCTTTTTTTGACAGTCAAAGAAAAGAGGAAGAGTAATGTGGAAAGCAACAAAGGCAGCAGTTGTTTAGGCAATGTGGGAAGAGAGGAATAACAGAATCTTTCAATGGAAAGAAAAATCAGCACATGAAGTCATAGAAGGGATCGCCATCAAGGTTATACATTGGTTGAAATTGTTGGACCTGTTTAAGGACTTCTCTGTAGATGACTTAATTAGAGGGTCGAACACAGTAGCAGCTTCTTCCTGCCCCTCTTTAGCTATCCAAGAGGACTGCTCGCCCCCATTATCTAAGGCTGTTAAGCTAAACTTTGATGGCAGTTCTGTAGGTAATCCAGGCCCCTCTGGAATTGGGGGTGTTTTTAGAGATAGGGAAGGAAAAGTCCTGACCCTTTCTTCTAGCCCGATAGGATTGGGGTACTCTCTTAGAGGAGCAGTTCTGGCACTCCTACAAGGGCTCAAGGTGGCTAAATAGCTGGGTTTTCAGCAACTGGAAGTGGAGGGAGATTCAAAACTGGTAATAGGTTGGATGCAAACAAACAACTTAGGTGCTTGGTCCCTTAGACAACCTGTAAGGGAGATTATGCAACTAAGAAGGGAGCTTGAAGTCGGGTTTAAATGGACTAGGAGATCAGCCAATGCAATGGCTGATACTTTAGCAAAGCAAGGAGTTAGTAGGCAGACCTTTTTGGGGATCGTTTGTAATTTGATGAGGGGTCACCTTGTTTTTGAAGGTGACAGTTCGTACTAAGTTTTCTTAGAGAATTAATCTAAGTTACTGTTTCCAATCAAAAGAATACAACATTTCTATTTGTCAATGTTTTAGTCATAATTGTGGACCCTACAAAAATGACCAAAATACACTTCTATCAACAAATTGACCATAATACCTCTACAATGACAAATAGACCAGAATCAGCATACAAGGTACAACAACCAACACCATAGAAGCCAAATGGGCCCAATGAACACTGAACTGACCAAAATGCCCCTATATAACTAATTGAGCAAAACACCCCTATATTTAACAAAAGTAGCCATTCACAAAACCAATTTGGGTAATGGGGGTGAGCATCAAGATGATTTTTGGTCCTTCCAATTGGCTGTGTAAATTAACAAATGGAACTCAAAATTTTAATAATTAGAGAGTAGATTAGCTATTCACTTCCAATGTCAGTGAACGGCAAACACAGAAAGACAGCACATTGTTAATAAATAAGCAAACTACTTTGGATTTGCAAGTGGTCACATTCACATATAAGTGGCCAACAACCATGTACAAAGCATTTTTCCGGGTATTAATAATCCCTTGCTACAACATAACACACTTTAGGTGGCCAGGAAGGCTGGAACTATGTAGAAAGAATCTTTCTGTTTGTATCATGCTAACAAAATAGCCCAGATTATGCCTCAATCTAGCAAAAGAGTATGGGAGCGCTCATGTTATCATGCAAGGCAATTCTACTACAGGAACAGCTCTAGAAGATGTTATCCCACCATGACTTGATGATGTGTCTGCTATCTAACATGCCATTGAACTTTATAAATTAGGGCATCTATGTTGCTGCTAAGTGAGCATAACAAATTGGAGCAACTACAACAACACACAGAAGCGAATTAGTTGTCAGAGTAAGAAACAAGTAAATTTTTAGAAGGGCATTAGTGTAGTAATGTCATCTTCGCCACAAAGAGAACAACTATTGCTAAGTCTAGATTACCACTTCCCGAAAGTCTTCTTGGAGACAGTAGACTAGGACACACTGTTGCTCAGTCTAGATTATCACTTCTCACACAAAAAAGCAACTTTAGTGATTAACGAAAATGAAAGGAAAAGAGATATATGGGTTTCTCTTCTATCTCTTACGGATAGAGAATTATAAAAGCCACCGACAAAACCAAGAAAAGCATGTCAAAACCTTATCACAACTGTAACATCATCCACTGGGATGGAATCACACAACCAGCAATTGTTAACACCCTTCATTGGGCTGGAATCACATAACCAGATGCCTTATTACTGTCTCCACCCCACTGTAGAAGCTCAGAGTTTACAAACATAATAACCATACTATGATATGGCTAATAGATAGAACAATCATAATTGCCACACCACAGAACTGATCAACCTTGGACACTCAACCACCTGCACACCATAACCCTCTCTGAACCTTCAAATGGCATCTATTCTCACCAACACAAACACCATAACTTGGTCAACCAGATTGTCAATCAAATCATATGGCTACATGGACTTCTCAATTCTAATCTCTGGCTATTGTTGAGATCTCTGTAGATCGTTTGGGTGGCTTAGATGCTAGGGGTCAGGATCAAGAGAACGTCTGGAAAGCCAAAAACAAACCATCGACCAAAGATAGAAGATTACTACAGTTGTAACTTTGACTAACTCAAGTATCAACAGTTAAACCTCAAGTCCAATTTCAAAGAAAGATACAATCAACTGAATGGAACTAACCGCTTTGAGACTCACAATTCAGATAATAATATCCATCAAGTCAATAATTATGTTTCACATGGTCAAAACTTGTTTCGAGCATAAATAAAACGGTTTCTTGTATAAAACAGAGGATGGTAGAACCTATTAAAAGAAAAGGCAACAAGTGAAACTGAGGAGAAATTTATAGTGAAAGTAGCTCCATCTTCAGTGGTCAGTATTCTACATTTCAAATACAGAGACATAAGAAACACACCAGTCTCACAGTCTGATTCCACGTATAAATTAAATTTCCACCTAATCATTTAAATCAATTCCCATAAATGACTTGAAGCACCATCCCATTATCAGTCTACTGCTAAAAAGGTTCCCAGGACTTGAACAATAACACCTTGTTTCTTTCTTATTTTCATTGGTGAGTAGGACTGGGAACTAAGGTTTTGTTAATTATGCCTAGATTACTGAAAGATTCATACTTGTAACAGGTAGGCCTGAAAAATTCAAGGTAATTTAAAACTAAACAGATAAAATCTGCTAAAAAATTAAAATATCGAAGGCCTGAAAATAATCAGATATCAGAAAAATCTATAGGTTTCACGGCACCATTCTCAATGTCTTCAGAATAAATCAAAGAAAAAGGAAGATGAGCATCCTTTTCCTAACTTAATTATAGAAAAAAAAAAAAAAAACAACATTGTATAATCTGGCACCGGTCATAGTTTTCTCTTTCACAAGAATTCGACTTTCAACGTGATAGCCCAAAATATATAAAAACCAACACCACCTCAATGTTTCAACTTCCCGATATGAAAATTTTCTCGGGAAAACCGTCCTCCAATATTGCTTTACATCAATTCAATACATAATGATGAACAGAAATGAATTCAAAGAGCAAAAAGGCACTTATTTTATTTAGATCAACTACTTCTTAGAATCCCCAAATTAGAAGAGAGAGATCAGCCTCTGAATCCTCAAACACAGTAGAGAGGTAGAACAAACGTAAGAAATAAAGAAATCTCCAGAGTAGAGAAGGAACATGCTCTAGGCCCTACATTCCTCTCGATAGAAATCTTACCTTGTTTGTGTTTGGCTCCCTTCTCGGCGATGTGAAACCGTGCACACTTGCTACTGAAGATCTTATCTCTTGACTTGGAACAACTAGGGCGAACAACGTTCAGCCTCTTCCGAGGAGCACTGCGAACACTAGGAATGTTGGATGCTGGCGGTAAACACTGCGAACAGATTTACAGAGGGGGATGGTGAGTACGGTAGAAGAAAACTATGTTTTCCAACGAACAGATCGAAAATATGAGAGTGAATGGGATATTTTTGTCATTTAAATTTTATATTGTCATTTAAAAATTCAATTTAGAATAAATTAGGACGAGCTTATCTATCTAATCTATACAAGGTTTTAAAAACCGACCTGGAATCGAAACCGTAGGTCGATTATTTGACCGTTTCGATTCGAATGAATGGCCCATTTCAATAAAAATAAATAAAATACAAAAAAAAAAAACAGTCAAAATCTTTGAACAGGTCAAACCGGGTCGATTATTTGACCACCCTAGTTAGCGAATAATTGATCAATTTAACGGTTTTTGCCAGGGGATCAAGTTTGGGGTAAAATAGAACCCGTTGCCTAGATGATGGCTCCTGGGCTGAATGGACAGACTGTCCAGATCAATGGGGGTTTAAATACATTGATCTATACTGTTAGAGGAAAGTTAAAAAAACTTAAGGTAACCCTTGATTTTCATAAATCGACTTAAAACATAGAAAATAGACTTTAGGGCTTGTTTGTTTCTTCATAACTCTTGTCTCTTAAAGTAATCTTACAACTTTAATAGGAAAATGTGTTTTTATTTCCTCTTATCTCTTATCTCTTAAATAAGAATTTTACAACTATTTGTTTTCAAATGATTCCCCAAAAATATAAACAAAAAATTCTCATATATATGATTAAAATGGATATTTGACGGTTTTCAAAATTCAATTTTCAAAACAACATTATTTGCATTCAAAATTCAAAGGAAACAAAAAGGCTTTTATGCCCCATTTGCTTTTCCATAAGTTATTTGTCTGAATAAATGTTTTTTGGGGAAACACTTACCTAGGTAAGTACTTTTTATCTATGTTATTTTATTTCTCGGATAAATAAAGCAATGACCGTTTTAGCCATAAAAAATCCATTATTAAAAGGGACATTTTTGTCACATTTAAGTATTGGCAACTTTCCTCCTATACCTAGGAAAATAAAGTTTCCCCGACCCCCATATAAATCTGAAAAAAGAACATGAACTTTTTGATCAATGGAAACCAAAATTCTATCCACCAACTTTCCCTTCTCCTCAAAATACAAAAAAAAAAAGAATACCCCCTTGAAGAAAATTTAGAGTTCATTCCACCTCTAGGATTTTTATTACGTTTTTGGGTTTTATTTACCAACAACCCCATTTATAAGTCACTACCTCTTGTACTAAAGCTTATGGATTGACTAAACAATAAATACCCCTAGACTTAAATATACTTTGTGGGTTGTATCCATTGGACTTAAAACATATAATCATTTCTTATATTATTTCATGAACCCGTTTTAATATTCTAAAAATCATATTTTACTCTTTGAATATATTACTCTTTAAAACAATATTTCTTGTTCTTTTTTCTAACTTTATGCAATTTCAAATTGCAACACTTTTCTGATTAAAATAGGGACCAGTGGATGGGAGAACAAAAAAATGTGGCAATGAGTTACTTTTGTTTTCATTGACACCTCAATAATGAATAGCTCAAGGGGTGGAGGGATGAGATAGAATAAAAGGGAAAAAAAGAAATAAAGATGGAGGAGGAGGAAGGGGAGGGAAAGAATGGAGAACCAAAAGCCTTCATTAACTTGAGACAGTGTAAAATTGAGCCAAAAGCCCAAAAGCCCGGACTCTGAATAGGTCTAATAGCCACAAGGTATGCTTTTAAGTCTAAGGGTATGTTTAAATCTTTTTCCCAAAAAGTTAAATGAATAACTTATGAGTTAAATTGTTGAAACCTCCTTTGTACTTTCCAATAGTTGTGGTTCAGCACCCTACTTTATACTACTAGCATTGTTCTCTCTTGGATCGTTGAATCTATACCCAACTTTGTTATATTGATGTTAGAATTTTAATCGAAATTGTTAGTTTATCATCTCAACATTTTAAATGTCAAAATTACCCTTAGACAAAAACATGAGGTACGTTGACTAAGTCAATTGCATACATACAATCTTCGCATTTAAAAACATCATGAAATGTGCAGCGGGCAATCTAAAAATTAGCTCTAGTAAACTATCAAACCAAATTGAAATGGAGCAAGCTCAACATAATTTTATTTAATTTCTTAAAATTAAAAAAAAATGTTCAGTTCCAACAGGAGGATATGTAGAGAGAGACCGGATCTGCTCCTCACACCTGGTGCCTCCCATGTGCCTCATGCGCACATCCTATCATGCATTGGGAACATCTTCCGTACTTATTGGTTATTATTCACGGGAGGTATTCCCAATGCATGATGGATGTGCCTGTGAGGCGCCCATTTGTGAAGAGCAGATCCTGTCACATGTAGAGAATGGCAAAAGGGACCAGTTTGCTAGTTACCTTGACTTTTCACGTTCAGAACTCACCTCAGCACAGTTTCCCTCATTTTATGATTGATTAAGGTTACCATATTAAATTAAATCTGACAATACATGCATGGTCTTATATTTTCTAGTTTATGATAAATCAATAAAGAATTAAATAAATAATTATGAGCATGGTTTTTAAAATCGGATCGAACCAAACAGTCGGACCAGAAAAATTGGGAACTAGTCAGGTGACCAGTTTCGTTTTAACCCAGAACTGTTATTTTGCCAAAATTTGTTGATTTGGTCAATAAATCACTGACTCGAGTGGTTGAACCGTCTTAACGGTTTTGGCCGTTTTTAATTTTTTTGTCAAAACGGGTTATCTGTTCGATTCAAATGGTTGGACTGTTCAACCCCAAAACCAGACTCCTGACCAGTTTGTTGTCTGATTCAGTTTTAAAAACCTTGATTGTGAGTAATATATTTTAATAATATTTTGGACCGTTTTATAATCCATACAGCCATGGAAACATTAGAAGTAGATCGTTCTTTCTCTTGTCTATGTACAAACATTGGGCATATATGATGCCACCCACCAACATGTTGCATTTGCTTATAAAATTCTTTAAATTCTTACTCATATTGGGTAAGAATGGGAGAGAATGAATAATATTAAAGCCTTTGGTTATAAAACTCTTGCAAAGTGCCTCATTAATTTTAGAATGAAAAACTAACGTGAGGCCTGTGCTAAATACAGGCTGGGAGACTTTAAATTGGTATCTTATTTATCTACGACTAATCTGGAAACTAATTTCTATTTGTGGGTCCAATTATTATGTATTTTTTAGGGTTTTTTATGATTCAGTCCACCCCTAAGCCGTGGATTGATGCCAAATTCATGGGCAGGATGTGGCTTATAGAAGAAGGAGGGGTTATTAGTAGACTAGGAGTGAGCTGTAAAAAAGATTTCTGAGGGGGGTTGCAATCCAAAAATCTCTTTTTTTATTTATTCTTTTCCTCTAATATCATGAGGGGCACGTTTCACATCTTCATGAAAGAAGGTAGTGGACCTAGTGGTGTTTTGATGTTTTCTCCTGATTCCTTTTCATAAATAACCCAATTCTGGAATTAAGCATGTGCCACGGTTTTCATGAAATGGCGAACAGAACCAGTACACCACTCAAGTTGTTTAGTACCAATATTTGCTGACATTATGGCTCAGTTTGGAAGGAGTACAAATACAAATATGTAGAGAGTAAAACCTTGTTTTTTGTATGTATTTGCACTATACATATTTGTACGACTCAGTTTGAAAAGAGTACAAATAAATATGTACAACACATACATATAAAATAATATAAAATACAAGGCTTTGTACTCTACAAATTTCTATTTGTACTCTACAATTTTCATTTTTCTCATTTATTCATTAGAACTCGTTCACAAAGTGTATGGTTAAATGAGATAGTTTTAGATTGGGTTCCAAGTACACCCTAGACGATTCATCTGGGCAAGCTGCAGGTAGTAATGAACCATCTGAATCATTGTCTTTCTTATTCACCAGAGAAACGGTGATTGATTAGAGTGGTGGATTGATTAGAAATGATTTAAGAGAAATGCCGATCTTGGCCATGTTCTTTCCAGCCAACATAGACACAGCAGATCCCAACAAATGACCTGCAATCCATACATTCACATCTCCAATGACAGTAACTGTGTCTTGGACAGCGTCCATTGCAATCTGAATTCGAGAGGTAAAGACGTAAAGTGAAGTTCATTATGGATGAAGTGGAGGTCCAAACTGAGATCTTGTTGGAAGGATTCAGGCTTGGTAATGGATTAATCGTATCACGGAAAGCAACAACATATCTTGGAGATCCCTGTTTTGAGTGCAAAAAATGGAGAAATCTACATTGTCCACAAGTGGACAAATCGACTGGAAATGGAAAAATTCCCACCCAAGGTGGGGCAAGAGCTTCAAGTGGCTCACTTTTTAACAAATTTACCATATGTAATTTTGTACCTGTCAAAGCACTACATTCTCAAGCATGCATGCAAATCTTGTTCACATCAATGCAAGACTTGGTTAATTGTGGTTATTGCTAGGAATGCTTCACTCTCTCCCTCTCTCTTCTTTGTTTTTTTATGTATGTATAGTTAGTTGCAATCCATGAGGGTTTGTGCTCCAAGAAAAATCAACAGTGTGGCCTCCTCCCAAGTAAAAATACAGACCAGAAAAACAGTCAGTGAATATTTAGACCTCTTGTTCCTCTCCCAAAAACCAAGATAAAAAATAGAGGAATTATGTGACATCTTCAGCTATGATGAGTAGAGGAGCTCTTAGCTGTGTGGTCTTCTCCAACAGAGGTATTATTGAAATCTTCTGATCAGTTACCAAGATCTTTGCATTCTCAAATCCAATAATCGTTTTTCTCAGGCTTTGTGACAAACTATGCTGCAATGTAACCAAGGTCAATGTGAAGACAAGTCTAAAGAGCAACATCAAGGGAAAACCCCAAATACATCATATAATTAATAGAGACAAATGGAGCTTGGAACCTACTAAAAGATACAGACCCCCATTCCTTCCACCTCTACAGTTGTCTCAAAGGATGATGAAGATTCACTCAATGCTATCATCATTGCCAGCAGAGATGGAAGCAACAACTGAAAAAATAAAATTAAATAAGTATCTGGTATAAGAATGTACCAGACAACATTAGAAAATGCAAAATAACTTGAAAATAAAAATAGCAATTAACCTTCAATATCATCATGCCTTGGACTGTCTTATCAATCCCTCTCTTGATTGAGATAGGGTTTGCACCAGAAGTAACACTCAATTAGCCTAATTTGATAATTTCACATGAAAGAACTTATTCTGCTGTTGACCCATCACCAACAGAGTCATTAGTTTTACTTGCAACTTTTAACCCAGAATTAGCAATGTCAATACAGAGATCATTCGTAGGCTCCAAATCTCCAATAGTTATAACATCCAACTATTTAGTTGTGCCATTAAATTTTGTTTCAACCACCACTAAAATAAGCCTAGGATGCATCTGGATATCAACCTTTAATAAAACTTGAATAACATCAAGAAAAAGAGCATTGATACAAATTTCCATTAACATTAATTACAAGTATGAAAAGAGAATTAGACATGGACTCAATGACCAATTTGTTGTGTAAGGCATTTGATGCCTCTTATGCTTTCCTACTTCTAAATAAATACAACTTCAACCTTATGCTTTCCATTAGGGGACTGCTCCCACTGAAATTTACAGTTAAAACCGAGTTCCGTTAATATATCAATATATATATATATATATATATAATAAATTATATATTTTAATATATGTACTGATGGTGCGCAATCCGGCCGATCCTAGCTGTCAACGACCTTGCCTCTGATTGGAGCAACAGGGGGGCCTGAAACGGAGAAGAAAGTGGGGAATCTCCGAGGAGGAACCCGACGAGATCACTCCGAAGCTCAAGTTAGTATTCTCTCAAAGGCAAGATAAAACCAAATGGCGCAAAGTTCACATACCTCATCCTCGGGGGGTAGAGAGCCTTTTTATAACCACCTTGCGCACTCACTCCGAGGCCTCTGTCAGGTCGGATATGATTACTCTGTGCTTCTGTCAGTTCGGGTGTCATCACCTCTGCTGGACAGAACCGCCACTGCTCCTTGTCAGAGCCGTCTCTGTAACTGGAGATGGCGGTGGCAGGTGGCCGTTGGAATGCGACTGTCAAGCGTCAGATCCTAAGTCAGTCAGGTGCGCTGCCCCTGGATACGGACTCCTTCGGTGTCAGGTACGGTTTGTTCAGTTCGGTGTTCCGGGGGCGAAGTGCTGGAGTGGTGTGCGAGGTTAAGTCCTGAGTTCGGATAGAAGTGTGGCCCGAACTGCTGTGGGGCAGGCCAATTCGGGTTGTTGCCCTTTGTGTTCGTAAGGCTCAGGGCCCAAGGGAGAGCTCGGGCTCCTTACTGGGAGTTCGGGCTCCTTGTGGGGAGTTCGGACCACTGGTTCCTCCTCTCGGAGCTCGCGCCTTGGCAAGCTGTTGTGCCGAACTGTTGCATTTGCCACGTGTTGAGTGGTTATGAGGTCGGGCCAAATCTTCCTTCATCAATTGCCCCCCACTCCTCGTGCTAAGGGTCTTGCCCTGGCGCGGGGAGTTCGCGAGGTGGCGGGTGGATTTGTCTCGTACTTCGGTTTGACTGATAGCGCGAGGTGCGTCGTCAGGATTTTTTGGGTTTCTCGAGCGCCCAAAAGACGGGAAACGCGCTGATCTGCCTACAAATGCTGACAGACGTGACAGCGCGCGCCTTATTTCAAAATTCAAAAAGCGCGTCACTGGGAGACGTGACAACGCGCGCTTTATTTCAAAATTCAAAAAAGCGCACCGCTGGGAGATGCGACAGCAAGCATCTTTTCAAATTTGAAAACGTGCTGCTGCCGCCTTTAATGTTAGGAGACGTGCGGTCAGTTTCGAGAGACGTGTGGCCAGTCACGTCTTGGTCTCAGGAGACGTGCGGTCAGCGCGACTGCGGGCCGTCGGATTGGCTTTGATCTGAGCCGTTGACTCTTGGTTACTGTGGGTATAAATAGTGGGGGGACCCCAGTTGCTTGTCACTTCTACGCTTTGCTTCTTAAGCTCGCGTCCAAGCCTTTAGTTCGCCTTCAAGGTCTTCTGCTCGTGTTCAAGTTCCCGTAGTCCGTTCAAGCATTTTTCCGGGTGAGTACTTTCCTGGGATCCATCTTCTCTCCCCGATGTCTAGCTCGGATAGCTCAGACGATTCTTCAAGGGG